TATTAAAATAAATCAAAATATATAAATAATAAATAAAATAATACATATATAATATATAATAATTTAAAAAAAGAATAGAGCCGATTATTAACCCTTTGTACTCGAGAGGTAACTCTCAGTCACCATTTAATTAGATTCTAAACACGAAGGTTAATTAATTTATCACATTTAAAATTACCCAATTTGGGTAACGTGGAATGTCGAAGTAAAATAATTCCACGTCTTAATTTGCATACGATTCCTTATTTACCGTTTTAAAAATATCGTCGACCTTATGGCAGAATGTCTTCGAATTACTATTGTTCTGTAACAAAAAGATCGTCTAGTGCAAAGGGTTAATTTTTTATATTTATTATTATATTGTTGAAATTTTCGAAGAATGGTTAAAATAAACAAATACAGATTTTTTAAATTAATATCGCCTGTCACTGATCACTGTGACAGTGAATGTGTTAAATTGTTAGGTATTAAAACGATGACTATGAGTCATCACTTAAGTGCAAAGAGTTAATGACAAATACACCGTGATTGGTCAAATTTTCGAAAATTTTGTGTTCTATAATTGTCGATGATAAGTGTATTCATACCACGAAAAATTTTTAGCCAGTTTCGAATAGATGATAGTAGATGAATTGGCGGACAAATTTGTGCAGATTTTTAATTATGTCGTAAATTTATTAAAAATTCTGCAATCTTGGAATGAAAATATTTTTTATATGAAAGGATACATAAATATTTAAAAATGAGAAATTGAAAGTGACACGTCTTCGAATACCGTCAAGTTAGTATTATGACAGTATTACTGTCATTCCTGTCTATTGTAATTCGATACAATTTTTATACTGGGATAGTGCATTAATTCTCATAATCCACGTTCCACTGTACTTCTTCTAATTAAATATAAATTATATTAGAGGGTTGTCAGATCAGAATTAGAGAATTTAATTTTCAAGAGAATTTCGAAATTTAATTCGTGGAAGAATTAATGTATTAAAAATTAATCAATTTCGAAGATTAATCGATTCCTCGTAATGGATAAAATGGTACGATTGGGGATTAACAAAATGGTTGCTGATGGGGTAAGAAGGATCAAAGATATCGAGATTTAATCTGCAGAAATGGGAGTCTAGATTGGCCAGATTCTGTGGGTAGGTTCAACCCTAGCAGGTTCAACCCTCGTGATGGTGGTAGAGGTGAATGTATAAATCCAGGGGAACACCCCTCACTTAAGATGCTCCTTGACATGTACTTTCCTCCCATTTGCCAAATAGCTCGGAAGCAAGTGAAAAATTAAATCCTCCTCCCTTACCTTTCCTAAAACCAAATCCCCTCCACTCAACCCCATTTCCATGCGAACGCTTCAATCACAAATTCCTGCTAGTTTAATCGATATACGGGGTGGTGAGTTACGAATTATCCGTCGCTCTTCTAATTTTCGCGAATTCCTCGGTATCCTTTACGCTGTAAATTTCAGTTTGCAACTATTTGTGGACTCCATCGCGGTGGAACGTTCCGTCGTTCCATATTTTCTAAGAGTGGATCAATTTTGGTAGTGAGACATTTTATCATACGTTGCCTCGACGTGTCTCGGCTGTGCGATGGTCTAAATATTTTTATTTTTCATGGGCGAGATTCGGAATACTTTTATTCCTCACGTGCAAAATTTGGGATATTTCTATTGTCTATGTGCAATATTTGAAATATTTTTATTTCCGCGTGCGAAATTCGCAATATTTTTATTTTCCACGTGCAAGATTCGCAATATTTATATTTTCTACGTGCGAAATTCACAATATTTTTATTTCTCACATGCAAGATTCGCAATATTTTTATTTTCCACGTTCGAAATTCGCAATATTTTTATTTTCCACGTGCGAAATTCGTAATATTTTTATTTTCCACATGCGAAATTCGCAATATTTTTATTTCTCACATGCAAGATTCGCAATATTTTTATTGTTCACGTGCGAAATTCACAATGTTTTTATTTCTCACATGCAAGATTCGCAATATTTTTATTTTCCACATGCGAAATTCGGAATATTTTTATTTCTCACATGCAAGATTCGCAATATTTTTATTTTCCACGTGCGAAATTCGCAATATTTTTATTTTCCACGTGCAAGATTCGCAATATTTATATTTTCTACGTGCGAAATTCACAATATTTTTATTTCTCACATGCAAGATTCGCAATATTTTTATTTTCCACGTGCGAAATTCGCAATATTTTTATTTTCCACATGCGAAATTCGCAATATTTTTATTTCTCACATGCAAGATTCGCAATATTTTTATTTTCCACGTGCGAGGACCTAAATATTTCAATTTTCCCCCTGTGAGAGTTTAAATATTTCAATTTTCACATGCGACGATCTAAACACTTTTATTTCCCATTTTGACATAGATTCTATCCATCTAAATTCGATAAATTCCAAAATTCAATAAACATTCAATAAATATCCAACATTCGTGAGATCAGAAATGACATTTCATTGCATCTACTATTCAATATCTAATATTCTATATGATCTTCCACTCGAAATAGCTACTCATTTCAACATATAAATACCAATCTCCCATACTTATTTTCTAATTACACTCCACATAACATACTCTCATGCACGAACCCTGGTACCCTCAGGTACGAGCAGCTGCGGATCAAGATCCTAGGTGACTGCTACTACTGCATCAGCGGTGCTCCCGAGGAGAGACCAGACCACGCAGTGCTGTGCGTGTACATGGGTTTATCCATGGTCGACGCCATCAAGTACGTGCAACAAACGACCAATAGCCCCGTGGACATGAGAGTAGGCATACACACCGGCGCAGTGTTGGCCGGTGTCCTGGGTCAGAGACAATGGCAGTTCGATGTCTACAGCAAGGACGTAGAACTGGCGAACAAGATGGAGAGCAGCGGGATGGCTGGGTGAGAATCTATCTGCCTCGTCAATCTTTCAGAATTGCTTGGTTAAAGATACACACAGCGTGCATAGATCTTACGAATAAGGTAACGAACTTGACAGCGCGCAGCTCCACTGGTCCAGAAATAAAAGCACCCTCGAAGCCTAGCTTCCAGGGAAATAAACCAATCTCCTTAGAAATTTCTCGCGGATCACGACCTCTAATTTCCCGGCCTTGTTCGCGGCAGAGAAAGGGAAGAAAGTGGAACGACAGCGTGGGAAAGTTGGCAGATTCCGTGCTAAACGATATCGATGCGACATATAAAACGCGTCCTTGACGGACACGTAATGAGCGCACTCCGCGTGTATATCTTTGACATTAATTACCTGGTGAAACGCCTGGCGAGCAGTTTTTAATGCCCTGTCGTACTTTAATTTTAGCCAGCCGTATTAAAGGGTGACAAGCCCGAGTCCCGAAGCCCAACCCTGTTTCAAACCCGGTCGACCGTTTCTCGTCGTTTCTTTTCCTCCATCGGGATAATTTATCAGGAAAATTAGCCACCTGAGTCTCTCCTGTCACGCGAATATCCTGTACCTTTACTGCAAAGGGATATCTTGGTCCTCCGATGTCGATAAGATACAGCAACGAGCGTGCTCCACTCGATTTCCACTCGGATAAAGTAGTAGCCACCTGAAATGGAAATTCACCGTGTTATCTCCGTATTCCAACTACCGACTATACCCTAACCTTATTATTGTTCACGCGAACCGCGATTCACTCGAGAACAATCGCGAAAATGGCAAGATTCTGTCAAAATTGGGATTTAAAAGACGGTTTGAGCCCCGTTTGACAGTATCTTGAATTCATAATCGCGAATTTTGACAGAATTCTGTGTCCTCCATTTTGTAATCACGTAAAATATATGTAGTATAATCGGAATATAGTCGATCCGTAATAAATCGTAAACGCGTTGGAGTTCAAGAGAAATTCATGTCTGGGGAAAATTATTATTTCTAGGGGAAAATTATGGAAAAAGGTTGTAAGAATTATCGTAGGAGCTTGGAATAACGAAAATGGCAAGATTCTGCCAAAATTGGCATGTAAAAGATGTTTGAACTTCGTTTGACAGTATCTTGAATTCATAATCGCGAATTTTGACAGAATTCTGTGTCCTCCATTTTGTAATCACGTAAAATATATGTAGTATAATCGGAATATAGTCGATCCGTAATAAATCGTAAACGCGTTGGAGTTCAAGAGAAATTCATGTCTGGGGAAAATTATTATTTCTAGGGGAAAATTATGGGAAAAGGTTGTAACAATTATAGTACGAGCTTGGAATAACGAAAATGGCAAGATTCTGCCAAAATTGGGATTTAAAAGACGTTTGAACTTCGTTTGACAGTATCTTGAACGCGTAATCGCGAATTTTAATAGAATTCTGTGTCCTCCATTTTGCAACCATGTAAAATATATGTAGTATAATCGGAATATAGTCGATCCGTAATAAATCGTCAAAGAGAAACTCGTTTCTGAGGCGATTCTGGGGAAAATTATTATTTCTGGGGGAAAATGATGGGAGAAGGTTTTAAGAATTATCGTACGAGCTTGGAATAATGCTTCGAAGGAGGGTGCACATCTCGAACGCGACGCTGAGCTTCCTGAACGGCGAGTTCGAGGTCGAGCCAGCCCACGGCGAGGACAGAGAAGAGGCACTCCAGGAGGCGGGCATAGTCACTTACTTCATAGTCCGGGCGTTGAAGCCCTTCAAGCCGGTTGCCGGCAAGTCCATGGCCTCGCTCAAGGACGCGGAGAACACCAGGAAGATGATGGAGAATAATAGAGAAGGGAAGAACAACAAAGAGGACTCGGAGGAGTTCAGGAAGAGGCTGAGGAAGGAGCTCGACAGCAAAAGTGAGAAAATTATACTCTAGAAACACTCTCTCGTGTTTCTAATTTTCAATCAATACCGTACAAACACGACTCGGTAGCCCGATTTAATTAATTTACATTTTTACGATATTTTAAATTGGATTGTCGATTAGAAACCGAGGAATTTTATTCTAATTACTGCGGTTTAAGAATACAATTTTAATTTTAATTTTAATAAGGAAATTGGAAATTGAGGTTCAGAAAATTTATTTTAATTACTGCAAGTCAAAAATTTAGTTTCAATTTCAATTTTAATAGGGAAATTGGAAATTGAGGTCCAGAAAATTTATTTTCATTACTGCAAGTCAAGAATTTAGTTTTAATTTCAATTTTAATAGGGAAATTGGAAATTGAGGTCCAGAAAATTTATTTTAATTACTGCAAGTCAAAAATTTAGTTTTAATTTCAATTTTAATAGGGAAATTGGAAATTGAGGTCCAGAAAATTTATTTTCATTACTGCAAGTCAAGAATTTAGTTTTAATTTCAATTTTAATAGGGAAATTGGAAATTGAGGTCCAGAAAATTTATTTTAATTACTGCAAGTCAAAAATTTAGTTTTAATTTCAATTTTAATAGGGAAATTGGAAATTGAGGTCCAGAAAATTTTATTTTAATTACTGGGGTTCAAGAATTCAGTTTCAATTTTAGAAATTAATATGGATCGAAGATCTATAAGGAAATTGAGGATTTCCAATTATTATTATTATTATTATTATTATTTTTAAAATTAATATGACTCAGGAGTCCATAAAGTAATTAGAAATTGGAGGTCCAGAAAATTTTGTTTCAATTATACTGTGGTTCAGGACTTCAATTTTAATTTTAAAGATTAATATAGATTAGGGATCCCTAAGAAAACTGGTCATTAGAGATCCACAAATTTTATTTTAATTAGCACAAGTCAAGAATTCAATTTTAATTTTAATTTTAATAAGGAAATTCAAAATTGAAGGTCCAAAAAATTTTGTTGCAATTATCGAGGTTCTGGAATTTAGTTTTAATTTCAAAGATTAATACAGATTAGGGATCCCTAAGGTAACTGGTCACTAGAGATCCATAAATTTTATTTTAATTACCGCAAGTCAAGAATTCAATTTTAATTTTAATTTTAATAAGGAAATTGGAAATTGAAGGCCTTGAAAATTTTGTTTCAATTATACTGTGATTCAGGAATTCAATTGTAATTTTAAAGATTAATATAAATTAGGGATCCATAAAGAGACTAGTCATTAGAGATCCATAAATGTTATTTTAATTACCGCAAGTCAAGAATTCAATTTTAATTTTAATTTTAACAAGGAAATTCAAAAATGAAGGTCCAAAAAATTTTGTTCCAATTATCGAGGTTCTGGAATTTAGTTTTAATTTCAAAGATTAATATAAATTAGAGATCCATAAATTTTATTTTAATTACCGCAAGTCAAGAATTCAATTTTAATTTTAATTTTAACAAGGAAATCCATAATTGAAGGTCCAAAAAATTGTGTTTCAATTACCGAGGTTCAAGAATTTAATTTTAATTTCAAAGATTAATATAAATTAGGGATCCATAAATAGACTGGACATCGAAGATCCATAAATTTTCTTTCAATAATTAAATTGAAGATCCAGAAAACTTATTTCAATTACGACAGTCCAAGAACTCACTTTTAATTTCGAAAATTACTATCTTTAGAGATTAGAGAGCCAAAAAGAAAAGAATGCAGCCCCTCCAAATATTTTCCTCGCATGTTCCACGATTGAAAAATGGAAATACATGTACGTACGTCTAAATTATAGCTGGGGAGGCATACCTGAAAGTACACGCACACTGGCTATCCCTGCGATTCAAGGACTCGAAGCTGGAATCCGCGTTTCACAACGCCGAAGAAGCATTCTCCCCTTTGTCATTACTCGGCGGGCCATTGGTGATGATCTGTGCTGCTCCAGTTTGGAGGTTTCAACCCTGGGGACCTTTCACGTGGGGTGGTATCGGGGTAGTGGTTCTATTCGCAGTGGTTCTCGCCGCTGCCACGTGTCTGGGCAGCGCCATCAAGGCTATGTGGCTCAGAAGAGCCCTAGCTTTACTCATGACATTCTCCCTCGGTGATTTTCTCCTCCTCGACATGGTACGTGTACCCTCTACCTTATAACAAATCGAATAGGAACAACGGGAAAAGAAAATCTACCCATTTACTCGTCAAACGTTTTCCTAGTCACACTGTGTCCTTGGAAAGAAACAACTTCGAAGCAACTAGAGTACCATTACCAGACATTCCAAATTGAAATTAAAATAGAAACACTGCGTAATAATTCGTTTAACGCGTTAAGTGCCCAGTCCGTTTTGCTTGCCGTTTCGTTCAGGCCCAAACTCGGCCGTCAAGTGGGCCAAGTCAAATGGGCCAGTGGCGGGTGAAGTGTTCGCAAAACTTGGAAATACTGTACCAATTGTTATAATAGAAATTCCCAAACATTAGGTCCAAAGATGGCGAAGAATTTAACACTAAAAATTAGCACCTTTTGATCCTAGTCTGGGCCAGTCCCCGAGCACCGGCCGGGCCCGAACGGAAAGTCTAGCGATGGTCTCTGGGGACCAATGTGGCACTTAATGCGTTAACATATCAAACGTCACGTCGGTCCCTAGGGTCACTAGACTTTCCGTTCAGGCCTCGCCGATCCGTACGGCCCAGAAGGGCCCACATGACGTCTGTAACGTGAACGGAACAGCCCGTAAAACCAGCGTGATATTTAACCTGTTAAACACTCAATTTTCCCGAATATTTTCGATTCTTCCGATTTTCCAAAAATTCGCTTCAAATTCACCCTTCTAAGATCCTTAAGAATTCCTTTCTTTCCTTCATACAGGGTAGATTTCATACTTATTCAGGATTTTTCCGTCTTCAGTGGCATGACGATTAACTTGACAAAAATCAAATGCCATTATGTGCTCCCTGTTTATCGTTTCTCCCATAACTAAATAACCGAGGATAATCTATGCCACATGGTGGCATATCACCTACTGAATTGTTATAGCCATTACAGTTCAATAGAATTTGACTAGAAAATTCAATTATACTGACATTTTCGACTAATATCCTGGTGAGCTAATTTTTTTACGTAAATAAGAGAAGAAAATCCTATTGAATTGTTATAGATACAATAAATAATAATAAATAAAATAATTAGGATCGGGAAACTCACTCTTCACCTTTTCACAGTTCAACTGTGTAGTGATCGAGGAAACCATTCCACCCCTGAACGCCAATTTAACCCTGTCGTCGAGGTGTCCTTATCCTTCTTACTACACGTACATCGGGGTGCTGACGCTGGTGGCGACCTCGATGCCGACCTACATATGCTACCTGGGCAAAGCGTACCTGATGTACGGCATCGCAGCTGTCCACTATTTCATCAACATCTGGCTCCTGGGGCCCAGACTCGACTGGGAGAAGTACGTCTCCACTCCCATCGAGCCGGAAGCAGTCCGGTCCAAGTACTCCCTATCCGTCTCTCTGTTCGTCGTGGCCACCTCGCTGGTCTTCGTGTCCAGATACGTGAGTAATCGAGCTGCAAACCTTCGACCTTTGCCCTTCGTCCACATCCACGCCCGTTGATTTTTATCGACGAATTTCGCCCCGCTCAATTAGCAGATTAAAACGTTCGTGGAATACGAACAGAAGGATGAAACGAGGCTCTTGAACGAATTCATCAAAGTCTAGGGTCCACTTGGCCCGACAGTCGAGGACGCATCCTTCACCCCCGTCTGTCGACGCTTTTTCACGAGAAGAGGGGCGCAGACGGATAGAGATTGACGGCTGAGGATCGCGTCTTGCGTTTGTCGTGAATCGAAACGAATCGGAAGCTCGTGTATCATAAGACAAATTGGCGAATTCTTTCCGGGAGATGGATAAATCAATTCTAGTTCGTGTTTGTAAATTGACAGAGGGACAAATGACGCGACATTTTCGTCGATAAATATTAAAAGCGAAATGGAAAGTATTAACCTTTCGAGCAGGCAGCTTAAAAAAAATTCACGAAAGGTTAGGTCAAGGGCGAAGTCAGCCTGTTCGATGATTCGTCGATGACACGATCGATTTGCAGGCAGAGAAGTCGAGGAGGATGCTGTACCTGCGTGGCAGACAGGTGGTGGAGCAGAGGGAAAGGGCGGCAGACATAAAGCGAAGGAACGGCACCCTCATCATCAACATCCTTCCACCACACGTGGCTGCCTATTTCCTGTCAAGGGCGAGACACCACGATGACCTGTACAGCCAGAGCTACGCGGAAGTGGGCGTTCTCTTCGCCAGTATGCCAAACTTCGCCGATTTTTACAGCGAGGAGAGCATCAATAACCAGGGCCTCGAGTGTCTCAGGTTTTTGAACGAACTCATTTCCGATTTCGATGCGGTGAGTAACTTTGACAGTTTCTACTTGTATCTTTGCAAACAGAAATCTTATGGTTCCCTCGATACGTAGGGAAAATTGCAATGTGCCGTTAACTATGATTAGTGAAATTAACTAATTTGAGATAACTCGGTTACATAATGGTACATGCTTCATTCGGCCATAGCTCTACGTTGCACGAAAATAAATACGTTTGACAGCCTAACTTTAAACGCGGAAAGAGTACGAAGAGTGAAAGGAAATTCGAAAATTTTAAGATTTGAAATACGGAATTAGTAAAATTAAGAAATTTGACATAATTCGATTGCATAATGATACTTCAGTTGTCCATACTTCTACGATACGTGAAAATAAATACATTTGACACCCTAACTTTAAACGCGGAAAGAGTAAGGAGAATTAAATGAAATTCGAAAATTTTAAGATTTCAGATAAAGAATTAGTAAAATTAAGAAATTTGACATAATTACATTACATAATTCTACGTTACATGAAAATAAATACGTTTGACACCCTAACTTTAAATGCAGAGAGAGTGCGAAGAATTAAATGAAATTCGAAAATTTTAAGATTTGAGATACGGAATTAGTAAAATTAACAAATTTGACATAATTCCATTAAATAAATCTACGTTACATGGAAGTAAATACGTTTGACACCCTAACTTTAAACGCAGAGAGAGAGAGAGAGAGAGAGAGAGAGAGTGTGCAAAGAATTAAATGAAATTTAAAAATTTCAAGATTTGAGATAAAGAATTAGTAAAATTAACAAATTTGACATAATTCCATTACATAATTCTACGTTACGCGAAAGTAAATACATTTGACACCCTAACTAAATTTTAAATTTTTAAATTTGAGACGAGGAATTTGGACAACTTCGAATTTTGACGCGTTCTATATCCCTTCAGATCCTACACCAGAGTTGACATAATTCCATTACATAATTCTACGTTACATGAAAGTAAATACGTTTGACACCCTAACTCTAAACGCAAATAGACGTAGAGTGCGAGGAATTAAATGAAAATTAAAAATTTTTAAATTTGAGACGAGGAATTTGGACAGCTTCGAATTTTGACGCGTTCTGTATCCCTTCAGATCCTGGACCAGAGTAAATTCAAGGACATCATCAAGATCAAGACGATAGGCAATCGAATTTTGACGCGTTGTGTATCCCTTCAGATCCTGGACCAGAGTAAATTCAAGGACATCATCAAGATCAAGACGATAGGCTCGACGTACATGGCAGCGTCTGGTATCACGGAGTCGGCCGAATGCGAGGACGCCCCTCGATGGGGCCACTTGTCCACACTCGTCGAGTTCGCTCTAGAGTTGAAGAAAGCGTTGTCGAGTATCAACGAGCAGAGTTTCAACCACTTTGTCCTGAAAATGGGCATCAATCACGGCCCCGTGACCGCAGGGGTGATCGGTGCCAGGAAACCTCACTACGACATCTGGGGGAACACCGTGAACGTCGCGTCTAGGATGGAGAGTACTGGGAAAGTAGGCTGCATCCAGGTAAAACATACTGAAACAGGATGACTAATGAATATTTATAGAGCTCTGTGAGCTTTAGTCATACGGTACACGGAAAGATAGTTAAATAAACGGAGCACTGCACAGGGAAATAGGCAATGGTGTTACGAGATGTTAGATGATACTAACAGAGGGAATATATTTTTATTATCGACTGCTCTCGTGCAAATAAACACTCAATTATCAATTGACCATATAGATCTACTTAATTATTTATTAATATAGTATTAATTAATTAATTAAGTAGATAGGTCTAGAAACTAGCGTTGAGATTCTTAATGACATTCAAAGAAATTATGAAGTAAATACACATTCCCATTATTAATTGGGTAGATAGATCTACTTAATTATCTATTATTACAATATTAATTAACTAATTAATTAACTAATTAATTAATTAATAAGGTAGATAGATCTAGAACCTAACGTTCAGGATACTAAGGACATTCAAAGAAATTATGAAATAAATACACAATCCCATTATTAGTTGAGCAAATAGGTCTTCTGAATTATCTATTAATACAGTATTAATTGATTAATTAATTAATTAACTAGATAGGTCTAGAACCTAGCTTTGAGGATTCTAATAACATTCAAAGAAATTATGAAATGAATACACAATCTCATTATTAATTGAGCAGATAGGTCTACTTAATTATCTATTAATACAATATTAATTAATTAGTTAATTAATTAATAAGGTAGATACATCTAGAATCTAGTGTCGAGGATTTCAATGATATTCGAAGAAATTATGAAATGAATATATAAATACACAATCCCATTATTAATTGAGCAGATAGGTCTACTTAATTATCTATTAATACAATATTAATTAACTAATTAATTAACTGATTAATTAACTAATCAATTAATTAATTAGTTAACTAATTAATTAATTAACTGATTAATTAACTAATCAATTAATTAATTAATTAACTAATTAATTAATTAATTGATTAATAATCTAGATAGATCTAGAATCTAGTGTCGAGGATTCTAATGATATTCAAAGAAATTATGAAATGAATACATGAATACACAATCCCATTATTGAGTACATAGGTTTACTTAATTATCTATTAATACAGTATTAATTGATTAAATAATTAATTAAATAGATAGGTCTAGAACCTAGCATTGAGGATTCTAATGATACTCAAAGAAATTATGACATGAATACACGATCATTATTAATTGAGCACTACTTAATAATAGATCCACCCAATAATTTATTAATATAATATTCATTAATTAAGTAGATATATAATAAGTAAACAAGTCTAGAATTTAGCGTTCAGATTTTTAATGACACTGAAATGAATAACGAAATGACTATTCCAATTTAACAAATCTAATCGCAGGTCACAGACGAGACCCGAAAAATCCTGGAGCCATTCGGCTACGGCTTCGAACAACGCGGCCTGGTGTTCGTCAAGGGCAAAGGTCAGCTACTCACGCACTACCTAGTGTCCAAGGATGGCGTGTCCTTGAACCTGGACAGCGACCTGCCGGTCGAGCCGACCCATCCGATCATCTATCAGTAGGCTAATACTCGAAGGCTCTAAAACTTCAACGCAAACTCATCCTCGACCACGAAGGAACCTTTCGTTCTCTCGATAACCCTCGAGCAGGCTGTTCGAGATGAACGAAAGAGGAGATTACCGAGGAGACGAGGCCTCGATACTCGAAATCTCGGGCTCGATTGTGGAACAGGGAAAATTTCGCGAACCTGACAGAGTTCTCCTGCCTCGAGCGAAGGATGAACGAGGTCGAAGAAGACACAGAGATCGAGAATCTTTGAAAGGAGAAAAACCGAGGACAGAGCTGGGCCAAACGGGATTTTATTCGACACGGTTTTTGTTCTTCCTTGAAAAGAAGTTCCTCCTGAAAAATCATCCTACGACGAACTTGGTCGCGTTGCGAATCGTCGAGCTTGTCGTACGAAAGAATTCTGTCGCTCGAGAGACGCCCAGAGCTGGTCCAAGGTGTCTAAAGAAGGTCAGCCACTAGAGAAAAATTCTTACCGCTGTCACAACCGTGGTCTACTGCTGATATCGATTATCGTTCGTTGGAGATGAAGAACAGGGTACAAATCGAAGAAACAAGTAGGTTTAGGACGACACTTGAAAGATCTCACAACTGCGAGCGAAACTTATTACGAAATATTAAAACAAATCTCGAACATCGTACTAAAAATTCTCTTCTCACTGTCAACATCGTGGATCGTCTTAGCTAGTGCTAGGCTTTCAAAGGAGTCCTATTTTACGTAGAACTGTGGATCTGTAAAGGAAAAAGAAAAAAGAAAAAAAAAGAAAAAAAGCGAAAAAAAATGGAAAAAATAGAAAAATAGGGAACGTCGTTTGGTAGTAGGCTGGTTTCGAGCAAATCGATTCAACGTGGCGCAAAATTCACATTCAAATCTCCCGCGCGGTGGTTATGAAAAATGTCGAAACGGAATACCGCGAACCGTGATCGAGGAATCCAGTCGAATCGTGCATATCTAGGATAAGTATAGATGAGTGTGAGAGAAAGAAAATGGTGTCTAGTCGAAAATCGATCGATCCTCGTCACTCTAGAATCGATATGTAACTTAAGAAAGTGTCTAGCTCGTAATCGTTGTGGTAGATACGCTGATACGGTTCTCGTAATCGTCACTCTATTTTTCTAGATCCCGCGACGACGCCATTTAATTCACGCGGTACCAGCGCGGACGGTCAATTAGTGGTAGGTCTTTTTCCTCACGTGGCTCCCGAACAATCGCCGTTTCTTCTCGATAAACGTTCTCTCGATCATCGGAATCATCGACTATGTGCTTTCCTACGATTTCGATACGAATCGTCGTAATACGTCAAAAAATTAACCACGAGTGATTTACATAAAGAAGATGGCGGTACTCGTAAGTCTCGGTGGCCGAGCGCGTAGCGTTCTGGATTGCCACCCAAAGGGACCTAGGTTCGATTCCCGAACATATAAAAGTAATTTTTTCGGACGTTTTCCTCGAGAAATTTGAAGTCTAATCGTTGTTAATAAGTTGATCGTCGATATAAATTTAAATTAATTAAATTCCGTGTTTCTCTGCGGTGTTAATTGTTACGATAATTCAATTACCGAGCACTTATCAATTGATCAAGATTTATAAAAACTCGTTTAAGGGTGAAAATTATACGCGTGTAATTTAAACAGTAAAAGTATAATTGAATCGCCAGGTACTTTACAATTGCTCTATGGTAAAAACTGCAATCGATGTGTAGGTAATTAAATACGATCTATACTCGAAACAAAAGGGGGGGTTACATTCCAAATATCGAAAATTGAAAGTAAAGGAATTGTTCATATATTGTAAAAAAAAAAATTTCGTAGATCTAACAAAAAAAAATACTTCGTCTGTATTTGGAGCTTTGTTCTCATAGAATTCTAAAAAATGTTATAAAAAGGATAAAAAGTATTTAAAAAAAAAAAGAAAAATGGAAAATTGAAAGAAACGCGTTAAAAATATGTGCGTGTTGAATTTTCAACATCGTGTGTCGAAACTCGGAAATCTCAACGAAACGAACACGTCGGAAGTACTATAAGCACCGTAATCCGAGTATAAAGGAAAGAGATACGAGGAAAAGCTGTGCAACTCGAATGTATAAAAGCTGTGTTGTTAAATTTAAGCACCATCGAATCGAAGGAATGCTTTTGCATGTGTTTTAACAGCTTGTTACGAAACGAATCTATTACGACCACGTGCAAAATATTCTCATGTTCGAACTACGAATACCTATTTAGTAATTGTCTTATTAGGACAATCGATAAACAGTCTCTATAGTTTCGATTACTCTATTTTTCTGCGAGCAGAGTCGTCGATTTGTACGAGTAAAGGAGCATAGACCCGATTCACTTCTAAACGTACAAGGCATTTCATCAAGTCCCCGGCATTACTCGCTATTAAACGACTTCTGAGATCAAAATAAGGCAATGTGAAACATCTTTCGGTTCGAGATTAGGTCTTAGGTCTTAGATTCGTTTATTTTTCTTTTTCACTTTTTTTCAACGATCGTTTCCCGAATTCGTCTTATTTTGTGCTCAAGTATCGTTTAGTCGTAATTGTTACGGACTTCGTGAAACATCTGGTATCGTGTCGTCCTGGTAGGATGATTCCACGGGATCGAAGACTATATGCTCGAACACGATCACCGATAATAATAATTTATTTTTCTACAGTTTCAGTCGCCGAGTTAATAGACCAAAATGACTCGAGTACGTACAACGCACACGACTTAACAATGGCAGGGAACGAGGTTGGGATTTAATCCTTTCGTCAGCAGTCATTCGAGACCTGATGTAACTCAAGCTTTCAAACAAGCTTCGATCAAATCGTTCAGATATTATAAGCGTAGAACGAATAAAAATTCGTATTAGCGTGGTGATTTTTAACCATATTAACTGATCCAAATTCTAAAGCCAAGATGTCGATATTGCTTTTTTATAACAGGTTCCTTTTTCTAACGACGCTCATAGCTCGTTAGTGCGATACGAAAGGATTAACGAAACGAATGGAGTGGGGGAGTAACGATGAGATAGAGAGAGAGAAAGAGAGAGAGAGAGAGAACAGTGGGTGTGACTAAGAAAACGAGAAAGCACGGCCTAAGCGCGATGACAGTGGTCAGACCTGGCAGAAGTAGCGATAGAGAAAACGAAATGGAGGATCGAAGCAAACCCTTCCGAAAGATACTCCAAACATTTCCGAAACTTCCTCATTTATATTTTGAAATCGCAAAGAGTCATTTCTCAGGCTACCTTAAGTTGCATCTACATTGAAAAGTGTCAAACACGGTATCAAATTAGGGATCGTCCTATGCCACGATGGAAAGACGTCTTTCCTTTCGATGAACTCTCAGAATCGCACAAAAATGAAACGAAAAGGGCGATCACTGAATCTCGAATTATTTCCACTGTTCGCGTACTTCCAGTTGATATCTGCGCTTCACACAGTCCACACGCTACATCTCTCTGCGTACATACACACATACACGAAACACAGGCACAGAAAGGGGGATAGAGAATGCGGGAAACGGGAGGGGGACACACCCGACTAAAAGGCGGTATTGTAAAGTAGCAATAAAGGAAATTTTGTGTATATATATATAAAGAGAGAAGACGGGTCGATGGAACAAAACGGAAGTAACGAACGACCCGGCTGAATGCGTGTATAGCCGTGTAAGAAGAATTATATCACTGTAGATATATTAGCACCATAGATGTGAGACTTCGAAGAGGGAACACTCGTTGTAAACTTTCAAAGTATACTTCTTCAGACTGGGGATACGCCGGGGACTCGTGCGAGTCGAATGGAATCACGCGACTGTAAAATAATAAAGGCTTCTTCGCCGATCTAAACCGATTGTTTCCATGATTTTTTCCATCTTATTCCAATAAGTGAAATTGTGATCGATCGAGATTTTATAATGCGTAGTTTGGTTTAATTTGTTTAATTTGTTATTTAATTTATTTGAATTTAATTTGCTACAAAAAATGAAGTGTACCTATCACGAGGCTTAATAAATATTACTTGTTATTGAATTAAGTCAATTTTAATTATAATATCAGATAGTTAATATATATATATTAAAAATTAAACACTGAAAAATTTCTCTAGCAGCTTCAGTTACCCCTAGTGTCCTCTGTCGTCACCAAACAGAAATAATGCGATTTGTTTTTGTTTTTTTAGTTAGCAATACGAAGTGAATTATGTTTACTTGTTTACAAAATTTGTTAGGGTAAGTTTGAATCACTTTTTGAATTGACAAATGTAATATGTTGTTTGTAAAAGTGTTAGGTTAGAAATGTCATTTGTACGTTGAGAGTTTTAGGTTAGCCTGGGAAAAAGAAGGTTGTAATATGGACTGGGTTAATTCATATTACAACCACACGTAATTCAGTTCTTTTCTTTCTCTTTTGTGTGTTTCTAAGCGGCTCACTGTGCCAAGGAAGGAACTAGGGAACGAAAGTAGAGGTTTACGGCAGAATTGGCATTGTACGAAGAAGAAAAATATTAATGAAGTTGTTCACTATTTTCAAGTACCTGAAACAACATTATGAAGAAAATTGAAATCCAATCTTGATCCTGATATGTTAGCTTATTAAAAATTAGGGAGAAAGTCTATATTTCTTTCAGAACTAGAGAAAAAATTACTGCAAGATTGTCTACTCGTGCAAAATGAATTCTATGGGATTACTTGTAATGATATTTGACATATTGCATATCAAGTGGTAATAAAAGAAGCATTGTGAATTTTCTTAATCTTTTAGAACAATCTATTGTAAAACAAACCTCCAAAAAGAACAATGCTATGTGCACCAATGTATGACACGTTACGAATGGATCCATTCCTTGCATGCTAAATGTGATAGTGATACTTATATTTGTATCTATTGCCAACATTCTTAAGACTTATTTTAACAGGGATATCAAATTGTACATTCAATTTGATTAAAAAACAATAATTTCTTTAAAAATATTCTTACAATTATTCCATTTTTTCTGTTATTTATTTTCTGTTCTCATTTTTAAATTTCCAAGTGTTTCTTACTCTAAATAATTATAAAATTTATATGTAATTACTATAAATATGAAGAAAAATACAAAATCTATTAAAAGAATTTACTATTTGTCATGTTTTCTTACTTTTTCATCTCCAATCCATCTTACCATCCAATTTTGTCAAACCAAATTGTGTTTTCCTGAAAAATAAAAGTGTGGTCCATATTTCTGCCTTCCCTCCCATAAATGGGTCTTAAATATATACTATAAAATGGCCGTTATGGGCCTGATGAAAATAAAAGGATTAATTTTCTTTTGAGTTCTCCAAGACTTTCGAAGTTACGCTTTTAATATCACTAATCGTCACGACGCAATATAGTTAAAAGCTCAATAAAATGGCGGAGGATTTGAAACCCGATACTCCCTAAATGAATTTACCAGCACACGTAGAAAGGTATGCTATCTTGATAAATTTTAATATCAGCTCGTATGAATATTCATTTAGCATTTATTTAAACACTTTGTATTAAAAAAAGAAAAGCAAACGATTTCATACTTCATTCAGCAACTGCTCTTTCACTGATTACTATGATAATGAGAAACGCAAATGCGAAGAAAAACGGAAGCAAATGGACGCAAGAAAATCGGGCGAAGTTTGCTTGGAGGAGTGGGAATTATTCAGAGGATTATTGGAAAAAACCTTTATTCAGAATCTTACTTTTGAACAAATTCGAAAGTTTTGTACAGTACGAAGCGATTGATCGGCGGAAGGTGAGAAATAATTCAACAGCTCCCTCTCGAGGAGGGATTCTTTCCGGTATCGGAACGGAAACGGTTACAGCGGCTATATTGATTTTACATTTACGCTCTACGACGACAAAAACCGTGATCTTGCTGTGGCAAACCAAATTATTTACTTCGTTTACTCCGATCCCAATTTTTCCTCAAGTTGCTTCGTGAAAAAATACCTTGCCTCGAAGATTCGCCTGATTCGTCACTATCTCCAACGTCGGGACTTTTAGTCAAGGTAAAAACAATTCCCTCTCTTTTCCCCTGCTTCGTAGCACGTTATAGATAGCTGTGTGTGTGTACACTTTGAATCTTTTACATTAAAAAAGAAACGACCACAGCGCGGCATCGTTTTCTCTGCATCGTGACAAATCGTCGAGGATTTACCTTAGAAACTTCGTTGCTTAATATACAACACAACGTCGAAGAATCGAAGGCGTTCCTTCGTTAATAATTATATACGCACACGTACGCTCGCAGTGTGCACATGTATATACAAATATTGAAAGTACGTTTCGCGAGTTACCATGTGCAAAGTGTCGACGGTATGCGGCCCGGAAAAATCTCACTCTCGACGTTTCTTCTCGAGGCGTGGCCAAAATTATGCGTAATCAGGCAAATCGATATCGAATTATGAACGAATCACGTTTGATTACACGTTGCACGGCGAGAAGCACGATTTTACACGGAAGGTGGAGCAGATAATGTCACGGATATATCGAACTGAACTTTGCGTCAGGCGAAATCAGTGTCACAGCGATGGAGAAAAATAATTGCGAAAAAGCACGCTTCGATGGAACGCGAGAAGACACATTTCGAAATTTTATACCGAGTCGCTTTCAATCCTTGGCATACCAAAATGAAGACGGAAAATATCTATTATTATATAAATATAAAAATAATTTACGAAACACGCGGTATATGCTTCGTAATTTTGTTACGAATATTACGAAACTTTATTGCAAGCCGCAATTTTTTAAGCAAAAAGCAGTGTGGGCTTCTTTATTTATAGAATTAACGATTGAATCGCCAATGTACAAATGTGGGGTATTTTTACGGTTCGAAAGTGAGTGCATGGGAACACTTGGGCGTTCCACATAGACGAGGGACGTAAGTAGACCTCGAAGGACAAGTATCCCTACGCAAATTAATTAAATCATCGTTTGATTCTAAATATTAAGAAATATAAATGATTTTTTAATAAAGATAAATTAATATATTTCTTATTTAAAATATCAATAATTAAATAAATAGTAAAACAATAATTATTATTATATATGAAAGAAAATTTGTAAATAAATTACCTGATAGTAATATAGTAAATTATAGTAAATACCTTATAGCAAATTACCCGAATAAGAAGTATTTGAATCTTCAAAAAAAATATATTTCCTGTTGAAATTTTTAATATTTCACACTTTAACCCTTTGCACTCGACGATCTTTCGGCTAGAAAAGAGTAGAAATTCAAAGATTCTCTACTAAAAAACTGACGATACTTTTTTGAGCAGTAAATAAAGAATTGCATAATAACAAAATTGTAGAATTATTTGACTTCGATACTTCGCACACTGTTACATTACACTAAATTTGATATATTAATTAATATCGAGCTTCCAAATTTTATGAAATGGTGACTGAAGCTCACCTCTCGAGTGCAAAGGGTTAATACCTTAAAGTAACACACTTTAATACCTTATTCTTTCTAATTTAGAACGCTTCGCGTTATCAGCAATATTTGGATCAAAATGGGCATCGATTTGAACATTGATGAATGTTCTGACTAAACAAATTCTACACCTGTCTTCTTTAATTTGTACTTTTAATCTGTAATCCATCTAAATATATGCTATTTTTATAATCACGTACAGTGTGTATACGTATTTCTGGGACACCCTGTATTACGTATTTTTAACGAACGAAACTAACAGCCTCATCTCGAAAACACGAAGAAAACCATGTGTATAGATCTTCAAAGATTTTTCTTAACGAAGATCGTCGATGACTCCAGCTTGGTATGCCAAGATAGCGAAGATTACTCGACCAGGCAGCCACACCATGACATTTACCTCACGAGACTGGATCATCATGTCGACAGGTCAGCGATCGCATCCTCGATCAGCTCGCGCGTCGATCGCATCGATCACAATCCTCGAGTTTCGAACTCTCCGCGATTCTCTTAAAATTACAGTCTAAATATCGGAGCGATTGTCATCGGGATAGAATCGTGTAAAGCACTTGAAGAGTCACGGATTTTCATCCAATTAAACGTTGCTCGACGTACCGCGACAGGTTTCTGCACGCGGACAAGGCTCTGAAGATCGCGAGATCACACGAGACTCGATACGGGAAGAATCGTGGGGAAATTTTCCAATCTACTCGTCCCACGAGGCGTATCTATTACCCGAAAGAGAAGACTGCTCTGAGAGAACGGGACGAGCGTAATACACGCACGCACAGTCGCGTTGCGTACGCGCCATAGTGCCCTGTCCGCATGAAAATGCCGCAGCGACGATAAATTTCCGATCATCGATCTCCTAACGCCGTTTCCCCGGTAAAAATGCTCGTTAACTTCTCAACGCAGAACCGAGCTTTGCTTTCCCTCTGTTAGCCTCTTGAAAATTCCCCAGGCCCTGAACTCGCATGTTTCACGCGCGTGCACGATCGAAACAATCCGCTTCCGAGTCTACCGTCTGTCAACAAGCTATTTTCAACCAACGCGTCACGTTCCTCCCAGCAGGCAGGTGCTCACGTTTCCTCCCCTGTCGCCTTTCACAGACCCAGCAACCCCTGTGGAACTACGTTCGAACGGAGTCACGTGGAGACTTTTACTCTACCCTAACCTGACTTCTGAGATCCTCGGAAAAGGGACAGCACAGCTTGCGTCATACCGGGTGACGACAGATCACCTGGACAGTCAGTCTGGGACGATCTTCTGCGAGATTGCGAAGCGGATCAGCAAGACCAGTTCGTCAGTCATTCGTCTGGAGACCGGTCTCTCGAACTAGGCCCCTCCACGAGTGTCAAGGCAAGGACTCGCCTTGTTCTCTGAACTCTGTCATAGGCTCGAGCACTCGAGTACTCCTGTGACTTCTTCGAGGACAGACAGGCCGCGAGTTGGCCGCAGATAGCCTGAACTCATTGCCAAAGGAATCACTGGTCAAAGGCGTCACTGGTGTCCGGTCGATCGTTCTCCTGCGAGGAGCCAGCCGGCCGATCGGGCACCAGCAGCCATCCTCACGTCCTCACGAACTTGTACACCACACCGAACACCAGCACGCTGACCAGGACCAATACCAGAGCTGTCACCACCTTCGCGAACGCGTTCAGTCCGCTTTCCGTGTGCTGCTGCGGCCTCCTGGTAGGCACACTCTGCTTAGAGGCCAGACCTCTGGCCAACGCCGGGAATGCCAAGCTCTGAGTGAAGGTTAGCTTGTGCAGAGACTCCGATAACGAGTAGGGACCCACGGAACCACGGGCTGCTGCCCTCAGCAGAGCGTATTCCAGGTCCAGAGCGTCGAACATGCTGTACCTGTTGATCGAAAGAGGAACAGCTCGTAGTGCGGACTGTAATGACAACTGTGGTGACAAAGACTCTCTGATTGCGACGGGACGTTAGATTTTAGGGATTTATTTCGTTTTGCAATTCGATCTTTCAGAATCAAGACTATCTAGGTGTTGAAATAGCTATTTAGGTGTTTCGTAAGATCGCAACTAGCGCAGATGTCAACTAGCGCAAAGAAAGTTGAGACTGCCACAGGAGAATTATGACAGATCGTAGTTCTATGATTATGGAAAACGGAAAGGAGGCCTGACCGAGGCAGTCGTTAATGTACCGAAGCTTTCTTGGCAGGTCTATAGCACCGACTTAGGTTTCACCGAGGCCTGGGATAATTTATCGCAAAGGGTATCTTAGCGGGCAGATTTAATGTCCAGATTAGGTACTTGTATTTCAAACCCCCGCATCTGATGGTTGACCGGGACTAAACGACCCTTCGCTCCTTCGTATTACACGCGTCGTTACAGGTCAGCGGTTCCATTGTCAAACGATCAGCAGGATAAGTGTCCTGTATTCGGCCAAGATAGCTACACCGAATTCCTCGAGCAAGTTGCCAAGATGTCGCCGAGACACTCGAGCGAAATCGAGTCAAAGTCGGCCTGTCGGATCGATTCGGTGAAGGTCCCACCCTTGAAAGTTCAGGGTTGGAAGGGTACGAGGGGAGCGCGACAGAGTGGCGAGGAAATCGCGGCGAAATCGCGGCGATTTCCGACGTCGCGAGAGGAAAGCAACGGCCGAATGATTTGGATACCACGGCCGCGATTAATATCTCCGGATGCATAAATGAAAAGGAGAGCGGTAACCGCACGTGTTCGTATTTGCATGGTGCCAGGGTCGCGCCTTGACACGAGTCAAGATCGACGTCAGGCCGTATCAGCCCGGGGGATTATTTCCAGCCCAGTCCTCCCGGTAATTTCACGGATCGGGAACAGACATGGCCTGGGTTCCCTGGCTTTTATAAGATCCTCGGGCTTCTCGAGCCGAGCGATCGTTGATATCAACTTATCTCGAGGTCCAGATACTTCGAGCAGTGAGATGAAGAGGCGTCCGTCTGCGCTCGGGAGATAGTTAACCCGTCGATCGGGTCGATATTCGATAGCAAATTCAACGAGAACTGCCAATTTTAAAATAGTACGATAATACCAATAATATTGGACTAAAGATGATGATACTTCTCTTCAGAAGTATCAAATATGCCAGATCTATCGTTAATCTGGCATTTAACTAGGAAATAAATTTTTCCGACAACACGAGTTCAGCGGGGATGTAGATACAGTCGGATTTGTTTGACCACTGGGCTAATCCAATGTGAAATAAATATCATAACGTATTTAGAGATTCGTGATAGTACACCGGGGATCGCGTATATCGAGGTCAGCGGTATGTACGTTTCCGACGAAGGGGTGGAATTATCTACCCCTTGCATCGCCAGTTCCGTGGAGTTCGCAGCGATAAATTCAACAGGGGCGTTTACTGCTATGGGATACGATAGATGGACGTGAGAGTGGTCACAGATGATAAAGCGGCGAGAAATGATCGGACAAAGTAGAATTAAATTGGAGAAAAGGGGATTCCATTATCTGTACTTTCATAACCTCAAACTGGGATGTCGCGCTCTGACGAGCAGTCCGCGAACTAACCTGCTGCTGCGCCTCCTGTCTTGCGAGTGCATCTGGGCATTCACCGAGCTGGGCATGGAGCGTAGACTGCTGGTGGTGGAACTCGAGGGACTGGGCGGAAGCGGTGGTTCCTCGTCGATGGAGGTCCTGTCTGGCGTCGGTGGACTCTTAACCCCGGAGTTGAGGTGATTGTGATGCAAATGGTGCAGCTGCAGTCGAGCGTGGTCCGGATGGAGTAGACTGGCGCGTCGGGACTGCTGAGGCGTGGTTGCCGGGCTAGTGCTGGCTACTCCGCACGGAGACGGCGACGCCTTTGACCACAATCGTGCAAAATTGTTACTAGTCACACCAGCTCTGACTACCTTTTACTATCGTCGCAAACGTTCGTCAAGAGATCATAGAACCCGATCGTTGCAACCTTTTCCCGGCTAACAATTGTCAATCTATTAACTTCGGTGGTCATTGGCAGAGAGTAGGTTAGACGACTGGATAATTCCGGGATTCTACAATTCCGCAGGCTGGCAATTTGCATAATCGAATTCTACGACTGTCTCGCTAAAGAATCTGGCAAAATAGCTGCTTGACGTTAGCAAACTCATTCAGTGGCTTTTAAATCTTGCAATCTACCGGGGATTGCGCCACCCGGTTCTACCATTCGAGAAGAATCACTTTCTAATTCTACGATAACTAATATCGCCGTGGAATGTTCGTCGTTAGATTTACATGGAGGATCCTAAAGCTAAAAGGGACAGGTTGTCTTACGAGACAGTCTGATCACTATGGTGTCAAAGTGGTGCATAGTTCGGCAATTAGAAAGCTCCTGGTACTCGGGTTACCTGTATGGACTCGATGCCACTGTCGTTCACGTTCTCCTGGACATCCGGGAACACGAATGCCTGTGCCTGTCCATCGGCCTCGCCCCTTGGTGAATCGCTCGGCCATACTTGCAGCAGAGGAAGTCCGCCACGGGCCTCTGTGCAAACTTCCGCGACCACGTCGTTGCTCTGCTCACCCGTACTCAGGCACAACCGGCCCAGCTCTCTCAGTGGCTTCTGTTTAACAAGGCACCAACCATTTATCCAATCATTTATCCTCCACTTTCACCCCCTTAACTCCTACGATTTAAGTTCCGATGGCGCGTGTCATAATCAACAGCGTGGAGCCATTTTGTCCGAACATGATCGAGAGTGACACCTAACTGGGACGGAAAGACATCGACGAAAATTAACCACCAGCCTGACCCTTGTTTACGTTGAGCTTTCACCCGTGATACTCGTGTTTGGCCCCATACCACGAGTCTCACACGATATTGTAGATGACAGGGTTTACCCCACGTGATAACCGGTGATTGCCAAATTTCCAAACTAGGAATCTTAATTTTTTAATTAAATTCTAGACATAAGATTGTCGATTAAAGCTTCCTATCTATGTAGAAACTGGCTCGTTGAGCTAATTGATGTATTTGCAAAAATACTATGTGACGATTAATTTCAGATATTATTGTGTTTAACTGTCAACTATCTAACTGTCAACTTGAGTTGGATTAATACTTGTTGCCAACGGTTCACAATTATACTTTACAGAATTCAGAGTTATATGTATACATATAATCTGTGATGATGTACTCAGTAGTGTGTTGACAGTTGTTAATATCTCTAGAGATAATGGATCGGTCTTTTGTCATTCTAGAATTGCTATAGACTTTACATCATCTGTAATCAGATTAATGAAACGGATACTGTGATCTTTTGATAGCTATACTCAGTCCTGTATAGACATATGCCAATGTCTCCATCGACAATTGCTGTACCCATTGATCATTCTACAATTGCTGAAGAAATTAGACGATCAGAAAACAGATTAATTCAATCGCTATAGTATGGTGTAGTTGACTATTTTCGGTACTGTATCGTCATTTGTTAATATCATTAACATATTATTAATATATGTACACAGGTTGACAGCGCATGATACAGATTGAACCAGGTAAATCACTCTGATAAGGTAAATTCTGCACACACAAATACATGTACACATTGATTATGTTAATGACGTAAATAGTACATAGGAGAAACCACAAATATACCGAATATAACCATTCGCTGCAACAATGACACTGCAATGCACTGTCTCAGCGTTACAAATGAATTGACTTAACCTAACTTCTATTAACGAATAAGCTAACGTCTGCCAAACTTTAAGACCATCTCTTTCACCATAAGTGAAGCAAATCGAAATACAGAGCCACAAAGAAAGCGATAATCATGCATGTGTCGTGGTAATAATCGAAACACAAAGTCACAAAGAATAATCCTCGCTGTTCCGCGGTATCCATCTTCATCGATCAAAGCGTGCCAGTCTAAAATGGCGCCGAGTACCTGGGAACCAACTCTGTCTGGCATAAGCATATCCCAGTTGCTGATAACAGCGTCCTCGAGCATTGTGTCAGACGCACGCACACGAACGCATTATGCACGTAGCATCAGGTGACGTGGAGGCTGTCACCGGTTCCAATTGATTCGGGTCTGCGCGAAAACGCTTGCGGAAATTTCAG